GGCGGGGCTCCGGCAGAGCCTCCTCCATGCTGGCTCCTGCCCGGTGGCCCTCCTGCGTGAAGTTCCTGGACATGCCCTAGCAAAGCAAGAGAGGAGACTTTACCCCATGTAAAGACAAGGGATGCTCCACAGCCTCCAAACCACAGCCCAGGAGGCAGCGAGCTCTGTGCTCCTACCCTGGGCTCACAGCTGGGCTCCTCTGTGGAGCTGGGCACTTCAGCTGCTAAGAAGGTGCCCCTGACCCCAGCGGGACCCAGAAACCCCACCCCTGGTGCGTCCACCCTAGATCCACTCTTTGCCACAGGGCCCTGTGCAGCGGGAGAGCGGCATTGACGTTCTTCAACACCCATCTTCAGCCATGCTTGCTGGCTCATAGAAGTAAGAGGAAAAGACAAGCTAAAACATCCTAAGTCCCAGCCTCGTGGCCTTTGCCTATGGCAGCCAAGTCTATCTCCCATTTATTAACCCGCTTTCCTAGCAGGGTCCCATCCTGGCTGCCTGCTGCCCGCCTAACCCCCGAAACAACTCCTTGAGGTCCACATCCCACTCGTCTGGTTTCTGTTCTCCCAGTCCTGCCCCGCTGCCCGGCCACGCAGCGCCTGCGCTCAGGGACTGCTCCTCCCCACCATCCCCTCCTCCCACTGAAGCGGAAGAATCTGGAGAGAGGAAGCGAGCCAGTGACCCTCAGAGAGCTGTCCTGGATCGGGAGGGAGCTGGGGCTGGCTGCAGCTCATCAGGCAGCCCAGGGCAGGCAAAGCCCTTCACCCTTCTCAGTCCCCCAGCCAAAGGCACACCTTGTCACCGAGGGGTTGTTGCAGTCTCTGCTCATCACTCCTTGGTCTTTTGCATCTTAAATGGCAACTGCTTTGTATAAGTGGCACGTCAGTCAAAGTATTTCTGCACAGAGACTGGGGGCGGTTTCCCCTTGATCCTTCATTTTCAGTCTGTCCTGCCATTAATTTCTCCTAAAACCCACTCTGACCTCCATCTGTGACCTCAGACATCACCAGCTGATGCAACAGCTGCAAGCTACAGGCAAAGCAGAGAAGCTGCCTCGCTAGAGAAGGCGCCAGCTCTGAGGACCAAGTGTTTGGGGGTTCATTGCCTCGACCGACACCGTTTGTGTAAAATACCTTGTTACAATGGAAACAATTGGCAATGCCTTCCCATCTCCACAGAAATACCATCCCGAGCTCAGCTAATCCATGGGTATCAGAACTCCCAGTCTTACCCAGGAATTGCGAGTCACAGCTTTATTGCGCGGTTTTAAGGCTGGGTCCAATAATGCCGGGACTTTTCAGCAAGTATTTTGCTGCCGTAAGAAAAGGAACGGAGGATCTCCTGATGCCCTCCTTGGAGCAGCGCAGGAGCAGAAGCAGCCTGACACCCTCCCTCTTCCGGAAGGATGGCTGATTCCGACAGCCGGCTGCCCTTATCACTTGTTCCGTGTCACGGCTGGCTTATGACCTGCTTCGGGAGATGATCTGCCTCGCCGTGAGCGGGGAGGCACCACCGCAGCCTGGCCTGGGATGCTGCTTGAGGCCGCTCAGCTGCTTTGCCGGGGAGCAGCTGCCAAAAGCACACCCGCCTGGGACGCCGACGCTTTGAAGCGGTGCCAGGCTCTTGTTCAGCGTCTCAGCTGTCCCTTGTATCAGATCCCGTGGCCGATGCAGGGTGTAATCCTCCTCCTCTCAACAGGAATTTCCATGCTAAGCCAGCAGGAAGCCTCTCGCACCTGCTGCCTGCACCAGCGGCACCGGGGAACCTCCATCGAACCTGGACCTCTCCTGTCCTTCTCCATCCCACCCGAGTGCCCACAAGCGGCTTCAGCTGCTCGTTACACAATCCCACAGCCCCGCTTCTGAGAAACTAAAGACCCAGACCTGTGAGTTCCACCCCTCTCCTACACCTTCACTGCTCCATCTCTGGCCAAACGACTTCAGCCAGACCGGACTACTTCTGCCCACCCGCCTCGGCAGGCACGGCCCCTGCAGAACCGAGGAAGAGCGCAGTGGTACCCGCACATGAAGGAATCCCTCGTGCCATTTGTCAGTGCCCAGACTCCCAGCACTCACCTTAGCCTCTGACTTTACCATCGGCAAGGTCTTTGAGGAACGTGCACTCCCCGCTCACTGACCTGATGGGCTGTGTCACTCTGGTCTGACCCGTCTAAAGGTGACAATGTCCAGCAGCACCATTCCCAGTCAACTATTTTCAGGGTGATACAGATTCACAGACCACAGATCTACAAACGATACCAAAAAAGCATCGTCCCCTCCATCATCCCTAACCCAGCCAACTGTGGATGTTACACAGCAACAGACTGTCGGTCCATCCTGGTGGGGCCCTTCGTGCCCACTGCAGCATCTGTCCCCTGCTCCCCACACGTGGGACCGGGCTCGGTCTGCCACCAGACCCAGGGCTGCCAGTGCGCAGGGGTGAAGCTCCCCAGCAGGGACACGCGGCACGGGGCTGGCAGCACAGCTCCCGCTTCCCTCGCTCCTCTCCCCTAACTAGCACTGACTCGGCAGCAAACCAGCTAACAACTGGAGAAACCACAGGAAGAGGGTGGGATTGCAAAGGAGAACATTGGTGTTTGGTTATTTTTAGACCTCAAAACCTCTCTTCTCCCTTTTGGGTCCATCGCTGTGCTTGGAAACCCGGAGCCCCCCAGGCAAGCGCGGTCCTCTCGGCTGTCTCCTCCCTGACCCCGGGACGGAGCACGCCGTGCCTTCCCGAAACACTTTGCAAGTGGAATTTTGGCTTTATAAATCATCGCCTCTCGGCTCCTGGCTGCAGACAAACGAGGCTGCTCCGGTCCGAAAAGAATGTGGAATTACTGCCCCAGATACAGACCACGGGAGAAAACTCCAGTATTTAATCTGGCAACCTGTCGCTACATAGCTGAGCGCAGCTTAACAAACTGCAAACCCTACGCTGTGCTAGCCAAAGAAATATTAAACTATATGGAAGCGAAAATGATTTCACTGGAAGTCTGCTTTAAAAAAATGGAAGGTACTTTATCTGTGTTTTTAGCAGTGCTGAGGGTTCAAGCTCTTTCTAAACACAGGCCAAGATGTAACTTGGTCCTTCAGGAATTTGACCTCCTTGGCTACCAGCAGTGCCGGCGAGCGTGTCCTGGCACCGGCCCCGAACCGCTCGTCCCCACACCACACAGCACAAAAGCACCTGGCTGAGAGCAACTATTGCACCAGCACAGACGTGAAACGGAGAAGAGGAAAAACTTAGCAGCAGGCCCTTTGGATCCCGAGGAGATGCTGGTCCTGATGAGGCCACAGCTGGGATCCCGCACCCGGTTTGGGCCACGAGGGATGGGGGAAGCAGACAGGGTTGTGATGCCCTGGGCACTGCCTGCGAGGAGCAGTGGAGATCTAGTTTGGAGAGTCTAGTCTGGTCTAGTTTAGTTTCAGCCAGTTAATTAACATTTCTTCCAAAAGGAACGAGGCTCTGAGTGCTCCAGAGGTACCAAATACTTCACCTGAGGCAAGTCCCGCTGAAGGCAACAACCTCAAAGGAGAGCAGGACTCATCTTACCTCCTCGAGCTTTTCCACCCGACCCACCAGCTTGGTTGTGACCGAGTGCAGCTTCAGAAGGTCCAAGCCGTAGAAGGCACTTTCCAGCATCTCGACGATGGAGGAGAGCTGCGAGGCAAAGGGAGCGCACCATCAATCGGAGGTGCTTGCTACAAAGCATGCCGCACGGTTTCTACAGCCGAAAAGCCAAGGGCAAGCGCAAGCATCCGAGTGCAAGAAGTTTATTAAAATGCCAGTTTTTCCTTGTGCAGCCCTGCTGCATTGCTGCTACAGTCAGGAGCACAGCAGGCAGAGCTTCAGGGGTTCAGGAGCACGTTTTGGGTGCTGGGGACGAGTAAGCAGAGCAAGGAGGAGCACTGCCCTCCTTGCCAGCTCTGGGCAAGCTCTCTCACACTCCCCAAGGCTCAGCCATCCCACCAGTGACGTGACTGGCAACAAAAGAGGCATCAAGGGAACAGCAGCTCACATAAAAGTGAGTTTGAGATCAGACTCTGACTTCATGCCATCCCATGCTTTTTTTCCCCCTGGAACAAGAAGAAACTTGTTAAAAAAATTTAAATACGTTCACAAACGCAAGAGTGAAGCAACTGAAATTCAGTGCCAGGCCGGTAAGAGTTCACTTCCCTGGTGAACAGCTTTATCCGAGGGATGCTGCCTTCTCCTCCACTTCAGAGACGCCCTGCGTTTAACCCGGCCCCTTCCAGCAGCGGGAAGGGCTGCGTCCCCGCATCCTGCCCATCGCCAGCCCCAGCTCACCGACCCTGGGGATCCGTACAGCAGCCCCCTCGTTCTGCACTTCGTACGGTTCCCGGTGCTCGCTCAGCGGAGGATGGAGCTGAGCGAGGCATGGGCCGGTGGGGATTGCTCCTGGGTCGTTCCCTGCCTCCGCTCCCTCCAGCCCCACATGTCCCCACGTGTCCCCAGACCTTGCAGCTGAGAAGCATTTTCAGTGCATGGGAATTACTACAAGGCGGTGACATTTCCTCCCAGCAGCTACAAACTAGTCAACAGAGCTCCACAAACACGGGAGAAGTACCGGCAACACTGCTGGCAGCACTCTGAGTTTCCACCACAGCCTCTGCACTCTCCCTGTGGAGCTGACAGCAAAGGAAAGATTTTTTGGGGCCAGATAAAATGGCAGCATTAAGAGACAAGGACTGTTTTATGGCCATGTATCCACGTTCCACTGAGAACTGGACAGAGAGCGCCGATACGACGCACACAACCTGCCAGGCATGCGCTTCCCCCCAGGCTGGAGCATTTCCACCAAAGCACAAAGGCTGCAGACGTCATTAACCGCCTTCCCAACCTCCCCGAGCACAGACTCCTCGCGCGGGCTCCGCACCCGTGACCCCAGAACGCCCGCAGTGCCTACGAGCAGAGGGGCAGCACGCTGCGATTAGATCCTGGTGGCAGCCAGCCCCTGCCCACACAAAGCCGACCCCCCCCAAACGACCACGCTGACGCACGCACCAACTCGCTCTGCTGCCTTCCCTTTGCCCGCTGCGGCTCTCGCTGGTCTGATGGCCCCTGCATTCCCACGGGACCTTATTCAAGGGACGGAGGGGACTGAAACGTTCAGCTGCGATGCCCAGCACAGCCATTTGACTGCATCAGGGTGCCCCAGGGGTACCCCCGCTCCCCGGGCTTATCTGCTCCCTTCCTCGCTGTTCCCTGGAGACGCATTCTCCAGCCCAGCCGTCATCAGGGAGGGCTCTCATTTTGGGGAACTTTCCACAGCTCTCCCACAGAGCACCCAGGGGTTCTTGAAGTGTGAGAAAGCCTGTCAAAGCGCAAGGTACGCAGAGCACAATTACGCACGTCCCGCTGCTGGACCAGGACAGAACGATGCTCATCAGACCAGCGAGGAAAGCAAAACCCCTGGGGTTGCTAGGAGCAAGGAGATGGCCTGGCCTGTCCCTCCAGGCCCCCCCACCAAAGAGTGTGGGAGCTGCTCCTCATGAGTCACGCAGGAACCAGAGCTGTGTCCTCTCCTGCCTCCCAGCTTCTCCTACCAGAGGCTGCTGTTCCCAGCTCACCCGACCCCAGCAGGGACTCTGCTCGGCGAGCGAGCAAGCCTGTTTTCACAGCTCCCAGGGTTTGACTTTCGCAGCAAAGAAAAACCCCGCGTGTGTGTATTTGGATAAACCTTGTGAAATCGTTTGGCCGCGGATCCTCGCGAAGTGAGCGGGGGAGCCCGGGCCAGTTCCTAGAGGACAAGCTTTCGCACCACAGCTGGCTGCGAGCAGCTCCTGGCGGGAAGAAGCCACGGAGACAAAGGCGGCCCGGCGCCGGCGAGGACGGGGGAGAGGTGCAAGCTGCTGGCGGAGGGGCTCTGCCGGGTGAGAGACCTCAGAGGTGGCTCTGTCATCCCGGAGGGCATCCCCTCCCCTGGCCGCAGCGCCTCATCTGAGGCCGAGCGGGACATCCTGGCTTCTCCTGCAGGCAAGGGACCACCACGCATCTCCAGAGTGGGACTCCTCCTTCCCTGAAATGATGGATTATCTGCCTGTGCCTGTTTATCTTCCCTAGCTGCAGGGGAGCCTGGACAAGAAGCTGCTAACTGTCTGCAGTCGGACAAGATGAAACACATCCTTGAGCTCCAAATTAATTAGAACGAACCCACCGTGATGGCCCTGGCAGGAGGCTGCCCCACAGCTCCTCACACGATGCCCAACTGAGCTGGGACTAGCAGCACCGCCACATCCCATCACCACCCACACGAGTGCCACCAGCACGCAGCCTTCTACGCTGGGGACTCCCCGGGGCTGGACCAAGCCCTCTGGGGAGGATTTCTGCTGCCCTGCCCAGGTTACAAACTGGAAAACTCGGTAGGGTCTGATGCCAGCTCCTAGACCAGCAAAAGTAAGCATCCAAGAAAAGCCACCAGTACTTCGAACAAACACTGTCACATTTGGAGAAGAGGTACACGTTACTAGAGAGATAAAATGCTGAACAGCATAGAAGCATCAACATTTGAAACAAAACCCACCCTGCCATCAGCCAGCTGCGTAACACACCCTCACGCTGACGCATCAGCGGCTTTTGGCCCACAGAAGCCGAAACAGCTTTTTGCTTGGGAGCCCCTCTCTGTGATGGCAAGGAGACCTGGCAGCTGCCGAGCGGAGCAGCGCCATCCCCCCCAGGGACACTGAGCACTGAACAAATGGCAGGGAGCAGCCCAGGAGGGACTGGGCTTCCAGCGCAGGCAGCCACGGTGGACCCCAGGCAGCACAGGATGAGTCGAGTGAATCATCGACTGCAGCTGCTCGCATCAGTCCCTTAAGCTGAGCTTGATTTCCACATAAAATATGCAGATATGAAATCAACTAGGAGATGCTTCAGAGAAAAAAAAAAGTTCAGGAAAAAAGTTTTTTTAGAAAAAGTTCAGAAGGAAAAAGCTTCACAGAAGACCTCCCCCTCCCAAAAGAGCCCTGAATTCAAGCTGCTCCCCTACCTTCAGGTCGCTGCTCTCGGCCTCCCGCAGCTTCTTCAGCCTGAAGTCCCCCTCGCAAGGATTGAGCGCTGAGGGGGGGGCCACACACGCACACTTGCAGCTGGGTCCCGACGTGATGGTTTCCACCGTGTAGAAGTCCTCCGCTCTGAAAGCGCCTTCGTTAATCCTTTGGCAGGCGCCGCGGCCCAGGGGTCTGACCAGGCATTTGCACCGGCAGTCGGAGCCTTCGGACACCGCCTTCACCTTGTCGTAGTCACCTAGCAGCTGAGCACAGGTCACGGCGGTTAGCAACCTTCTCGTCCGCTCGCTCGCCCAGCGAGGGACGAGGACACCCTGGACCTTGAGGTTCAAACGCGGACACTTTGGACACCTTGAACCCCAAGAAAACCGGCCAGCTCTTCCAAAATCTGCTGAGCAAGAAGGTTTCTAGACAGCGCAGAGCTTTTTGGTCCCTACCTACAAGGGCAGTAAAAACTGGCTCCTTCCAACAGGGTATTTTTTATTCCACTTGGCACAAAACAGACCTCGCCGCTCCGAATTTTCATACAAACCGCAGCCTGCTGCCTTTTAATGCTCAGTGTCCAGTAGACCCAGTAAGTCACCTGCTACCCTGAGCAGGACTGCTGCACGCGGGCAGACAGGGTGAGGGTGGGCTGGAAGGGCAACCAAAAGCCCCACAACCCGACGGTGAAACCGTATTTCTGCTTCGCCCCATACAATGCCAGGAATTTCCTTTACGGCGATTTGCAGACGGCGCTTCCGAGAGCCCCAGCACAGAAATAGCTTTGGCGGTGCGTTCCCAACAGCCTCCCGTTAGCCGCTTCCGAGGGCAGATAACGACACGCCGTCTGACCGGCCAGACCGAACAGAAACCTCCACCGCATCCCGCTGGCGGGGAGACAGCCCGGAGCCACCCCCCTGCACACAAAGGGGCTCATCCGACCCCCCCTCCCGAGCAGCGACCCGTTTTCCGAGCCCCCCCACCGCGGGGAA